GCAGCACCCAAACTTCCCTCGCTAAAGCTGGAGACTGGGAGCGGCCAAAGCGCCTCACCTCACCATCTGATCTGGTGCCAAAGTGAGTTCATTCTCCTGTCTTAATATTTCCTGAATTGCTCCCCGTTTTCCTCCCCACCGCTAGTTCCCATGCCTGAAGCGCCAACCTCCAGCTGGTCTTCCTGCCTCTCCTTCCAGAACACTCTCCTGCTCAGACAACCTCAGTAGTTTTCCCTTGAGTCCAAATTCCTCCACCTGGCATTCAAGTCCCTGCTAGACCCGGCCTTGTTTCTTCCCTTGTTCCCCTCATTATTTATGCGGGTCAAAGTTATCGGCTCCCTCTGCCCCATTCTTGTGCCTTTGTTACAGCTGTTTCTCCTGCCTGAAAGATCCACCCCACCTATTTTCAAGCCCCCCAATCCAAATCTTGTCAAGGCACAGACCGAGGCCGCACGGCCAGGACCCTCCCTGGGCCCCCATGTCCTCCCCCACAGAGCTCCAGGGCCTCCGGGTACCCCTGAAGCCACAGCCTCTGCTGTCCTCCTCCACGGCCCTTCCAACTAGGGAGGCAAGCTTGGGCCTGGGCACAGCCTTCCTAAGGTTGCCTGGTGAGGAGAAAGGAGTCAAGTATTGATCTAAGGTGGGGGCTCCCTTTGCTGACTGGGGCCCCCTTCAGTAACTGCCCTCAACCGCCCCAGTCCTGCCTCCAACACTTTAGGCAAGGCCCACGCCTGGGATGGCACCTGTGACCTCCACCTCAGCCTGTCAGTGACAGCCATTCCTTGGCCACAGAGATGGGCCCATCAAAACCAACACTTGTTGGGAACTGTTATTGGGGTTGGAGGACTTGAACCTGAAACTCATGGTCATCTTTCCACAGCAAGGTTCGAAGCTTTGGGGGGGTGGGAGTGGGGTTTGGAGACAAGCAGTGGAGAGGGAGAATCCGGGCCAAGGGGTTATTTGAGGCTCTGAATCAAGCTGGGCCCAGAGCTAGCCCTACCCTGGACTTCTCCCTTCTGAATGACAGTGCATTCCCTTACATCACCCCAAGTTGAGTTTTCTCTTCTTGTAACACAGAGAATCCGCACTGTAAGCGAGGTGAGGAGGGGAGCACACCCAGGTGGCCAGCTTCTGGGATCTTGGCATCATCTTCCAGGAGATCATCGTGTGACCTCCCTCAGCTTCAAGGTTGATGAATGGAAACCTGGCTGTTCGTGCCCCTGGCTGCACATCCTGTGTGGACTGCTGGCATCCCATAGTCCGGAGGAGGAGAATGAGAACCATCTGGACTGCTGATTGAAACCTTGGCTCTGGGGTAGGGCTGGGCCCCTGGAATGTGGATGCTGAGCCCCAGACCCAAGCCAGAGCGTGATGAGGGTGTCTCAGGGAAGTGTCAGGCTCCCACTGGAAGATGCAGGGAGACCTCCAGATTCTGAATCACTACACTATGGAGGCTGGGGTGGGACGCATATCCAGACTTTTCCAAAGGGAGAGCTTCCAGCCCAGGGAGAAGACCCAGTCCTACCATTCCCAGGAGCCCTTGGGGAAATGCTGCTGGAAACAGCCAGAACAGGGCTTGCTGGGAAGAGAGCTCAGGGTTGGGAAGTACTGGGTGTTGTGGGAAGAGAGCGGGACTGCATGCCCTGTGAGAGATGGGGCTGAGTGTTGGAATGTTCCTGAATGTCTTTCCACTATAGAGCCTTGGGGAAATGCTCCTGGTCTCACCTCTACATGGTTGGGGAGCCGGAATAGGAAGAACTGGGTATGAAATGGGGACTATGTGGAAACCCCCAGCTTCAGTTGGGTGAGGGCGGAATCCCTTGTGTGTGGGGATGAGGAGGGTGGCTCAGGGGTTGCCTGGGGAAGAATACTGGGTGTCTATCAGCATGAGGGTACCCGCAAGGAAATGTGCAGAGCGCTTGGGTCTTCCATGGAGCTGGAGAGTGGCCTGGGGCCTGGCGCCCTGTCTGACACCCACTGCTGAAGGGTCTGGAGTAGCTGGGTGGGGTCAGCAGGAGGGCAGAGGTGTTGGGGGAGTCAGAGAGGAGGGAAGGAGTCTCAGCTCCTCTATCCAGATGCCTGGGGGCTCAGCCTTGTCCCCTGGCCTTCTGCCCACCAGCTGCCACAAAGCTGGGGAGGAATCTGCTTTGTATTATCAAAGGAGCTGCCTCCCCCAGGCATATGGTCAGCCGAACCCCCCCCCCCCGAGCATCATGGGAAATGTCTGCTTCTGCGCCCTTCTCTGCCCCAGCCCCTTCTTCACTGGGAGTGCGCTGGACTGTAGGCTCACTGCCCCCCCAGGCCTGCTTCTCTCCAGGGCATGAAGAGGCCTTTCACAGTCTTTCAAGACTTGTCTCAGCTTCACTGCCCCGGATGAAGGAGGGCGGGGAGGCAGATGGGCCGCCAGAGAAGGGTCGCATCCTCCAGCCCGAGAATGAAAGAGACAAAGGGGGTCCTGGGCTGAGCCAGACAGGAGAGAGCCTTGGGGCTCTCTTGGGGTGAGAGGAGAGAGACGGCCTCAGGCCCCGGGGGCCGGCTCACGGGAGGAAGCAGGGAGCATCTCTGACCTCTGAGCCCACTAGTGGCCCGGCCCAAGTGCCCACTCGCTGGGGAACGAGCTGAGCGGCTTGAAGGTCCAGACGCTGGCCACCGCGCAGCTCGCACCCTCTGGAAGTGGGGCTTGTCCAAGCTGAGGTGCGCTGCGAGAATAAAATACACACTGAGTTTTGAAAATGTGTAGGAGAAAAGTTGTGTTTCAATAGTAAAACTATTGAAAATATTGACTGTAAAGTAATATATACTTCAGCGATGCGTGGGCTCCATGAAATAGATGACTAAGTTCATCTCACCTGCTCCTCGTTACTTTTCTAATGTAGCTACTGAGAAATTGCAAATGACACACGCATGTCGCCTCGTGGCGCTTCCGTGGGACAGTGCTGCCCCGAGGCACGGCACTGGCTCCACTGATTCTCACCCGGTGCCGATTCCTGTCTGTGCCAGGCAAAGTGCTGAGCACTCGAGGTAGCACAGCAGGTCCGTGTCTCTGGTTTCCTGGAGTTTAGAGCGACCGAATAATCACTTAGAGGATGCCTAAGGCCAGGAGACACGTGGTCGAGCGCATGAGTTCTCTGGACCTGGGATCAGGAAACCTGGTTTGAGCCCAGAACACAATTCTGTCCCCAGGAAGTAATGAGCTTAGAGGTATCTTGAGAGAGAAAGAGAAAGCGTGTTCTAGGGGGGGCAGTGTCAACAGGGAATACTGAAGCCTAACGACTGTGAGAGAGCTGGACTGGGGAGCACAGGGTCAGGAGGAGACGGCTGGCAGGGCCGCACAGCCCTCAGGCCACGGGGAAGAGGGAAAGTCAAGACGCCTCAGGGGACCTGGAGGAGGGACAGGGGTTGAAGCTGCAGAAGGGTTTCCCACAATCGGGGTGGGGAGGGGAGGGTGGGCAAGGGTCTCTGGTAGGAAGTCTTCCGGCTTTCACCCCCCCACCCTGCCCACCAGGAGCCCTGGCCCCAGCCACCTCCCACCCCACCCCATCCCCGCTGCCATGTCCGTGGCCTCCTTGCTCACGCACGCTGGCGTCCACTCTCCCCTCCGCCATCGGAGCTGTGCTTCCTAAGCGGGAATCTGCGGCAGGAACCCCTGCTTTCGCCCCTTGGGGCTGCTCCAGCGCTCTACATGTAGTCCAGGGGCCCCGTGTTCCCTCGCAGGCCTTTCCGGGGCCCCTTGCTGACCGCCCGCTCACTCTGGGGGCTCCAGGCACGGAGCCTCCCCAGGCCCGGGATCTCTGCTATCTGTCCAGGGCCTCTGCCAGCAGCACTCCCCTCCCAGTACATTAACTCCACGCCTCCTTGCAGACTCCACTTGGTTGTCCCTTTTCTGACAAACCTGCCCCACCCCCTCATAGGGTGGGTCTGGACAGGGACCCCCAACACTCCTCTCTTGGCACTGCCCAACATGCAGAGCAGCGAGGGGGCAGCAGGCAGGGGTTTGCAGCACCCTCATGCCCACACTCAGCATCTGGCTCTTTTCCACAAAATTAGAGTTCTGTCCGCCCCCCGCCCCGCCAGAATGAGGCCTCCATCAGATCCGAGACACCCTCACATGTGGGACCGTGACTTTCCCAGAGTCTGCCTCCTCTGTAACGAGGTTATGCAAGCACTGGGGTCATCTCTCTTGCCTACTATGAATTACACCCCCTCCCTTTCTTCACAACCCCCCAGTCTGGGAGCGGAAGATAGAAGACAACCTCCCTTCTACCTCGTGCCTAACTCTGGCGTGGGCCAGGCTGGCCCTCCCAAGATCCGGAGCTTGGGAAGTCTTGCTGCCGTTCTTTCTGGGAAGCGCAAGTCTCTGGTGGCTTCTCTGAAACCACAACCCGGCCCCCCCAGAGGGCCTGGTCAAGCAACCAACAGTGACCGGCAGCCGCTGAGTTGCCCTGCCTGGCCCTCCTTGGACAGGGCACAGCCTGGGCCTGGGAGGCCGGGGCCAGGCACAGGGCTCCAAGTCAGGCTGGCAGGAATGGGGGCTGGGAGCAGTCTGGGAGACGGAAGAGAGCGAGAGGGAGGAGCCGGCGCTAGGCCTCTGGAGCCAGGCCCAGTGCACGCGCATATGTGTGTGGGGTATGTCTCCCAGGCCATGTGGGTGGCTGGGAGATGCCGGGTTATGACCGAGTCCTCTGAGCGAGCCCCAGGCTCCCTTGTGGTCAGTTTCACTTATGACTTCTGGTCAAGTTCACAGCTGGCGGTTTCCTGCATGGCCATGTTCACTTTCCCTTTCCAAGATCCAGGGGCAAAGGGCCCCGCTCCCTCTCTATCCTGCTTAAATTAACTCCATAGATACACATGTGAGTTTGCTAGATTTCTGTTAAAACATCCCCATTTGGGGGCAGGGAGACAGGGAACAGGACAGAAGTTCAGCGCTGGAAATTATACCTGGGTCCCTGCCATCATACCGCCCCCACCATGTGCAACTGCAGGAAATTCCTTTACACCACTTTGCTTTCTTTGCTATTTAATGTTCTTCATTTATGTTTTATGTGTAAGTTCAGGAGGGCCCTAGAAATGATTACACAGAATGCAAGGGGCAGGTGACAGGGAGGATAACGGGGAGTCTGGCGCTCCCAGCCCCCAGCTGGGAGCCAAAAGGGTTCCATCTCAGCCCAAAAGTAGGCAGGAGGGGCCCCAGAACCAAACACATGCTAAGCCATACTTGCAACCCCCACCCCCTTCCCCAGCTGCTGGGGAGGAGAATAAATACACTCAGACCCAGTCCCGCTCCCCAGGAGCGCAGGTGAGGGGCCAGCAGGTGAGTTTCCTCCTCCCATCACAGCTCGAGGTCACAGAAATGCCATCTACATACAATGCAGCCCCTTGGACAGGGTTGGGAGAGCCCTGGGCAGACTGGCACAGGGGTAGCAGTCCTGCACACCCTGCCGGGGCTCAATCATGCTAAATAAAGGGGGGACCACACTCATTCCAACATCAAGCAATACAGAACAGCCAGGGAGAGACTCCTGAGACCTCAGGGCCCCTCCTGGCACCAAGCAAGGGGGAAAACAGTCCTTTGTAGGGTCCTGGAAGCTCAAGAGCGGGCTCGAGAGAGACCCTCTGGGGCCACCACCTCACTCCGGTCCTTCTTGCTGCCTCCCGCAGGGGTCCACTCTTCTTCACAGGAACCTTCAGGGCCAGCCAACCTGGGCTTGCAGGGGAGGGGGGGCAGCAGATTCCTCCATGTGCAGGCCCTTAGAAGGCAGACGCCAGCTCAGCGTCCTGGCCGGCCAAGGCCGGGGGCGAGGGCTCAGTTCTCTTGGATGTTTCTCTGGCAGCCGCGCTGAGCAGGATCCGGTCGCAGCCTGGGAAGGAACTCGTGGAGAACACAGGCGTTCTCATCTTCTGTGTCTGTCTACTACATGCAGCAGGCTGGGGGTCCTTCGTCCCCGGCCCCCAGAACTGGCGCCAGGAGGAGGTGCTGCCGGTGATGGCTCCAGGTCTGTGCCAGAACAGAGGCCACCGACAGCCTGGGCCACCCCATGGATGACACAATGAAAGGCCTACGGGGGACAGGCAGAGCGAAGTAGCACCCCTCCCGTGAGCCCCAAACCTGACGTGAGTCACATCTCATCTCATCTCCACAGGGGCTGGCCAGGCCTGGAGATGGCGCCGGCACACTGGGTTTGGCTTTGAGATATTTTCCAGAGGGTCGCCTGGCCGGTCTCCCAACCCTCAAGCAAACCTGAGGCCTGTGTCCGTCACTCAGAGAGGAGGGGACCGGCCCACACTTGGCCTCCCCATTTCTGGGCAGCTTTGGGCAAGTCACTACATCTCTCTGGGCCTCACTGTCCTATATGTAAAACGGGGGAGGAGGGTGCACTAGGTCTCAAAACTCTCATCCGGACAGTCAAGCCTCTGATCCTCTTCATTTTAGGCCAAAGTAAAAGGGTGAGAGGGCGGAGGGAGGGTTTGGGCCACTCGGATGAGCCCTCGCTCCCCAAGTTCACAGTGTAGAGTCCCTGGCTCTGGGTCCTCAGTCTCTCCCTCTGAGCCTCTGGGCCTTGTTACGGCCCCTAACACCACCCCTGGTGTCTGCCCCCCCCATCTAGGACACCTGCCAAGGTGGGCAGGGCTGGCCCACCTAGAAATGTGAGAAGGGAGGGAAGGCCCAGAGTGAGGGGTGAGGGAGGGGGCAGGGCAGCAGGGGCACTTCTGGCGCTGGAGGGAGCGTGGCCAGAAGGAGCCTCAGGGCAGAGCGGTGCAGGGCTGTGGTTGGGGGCCCGGGGCCTGAGTCCCTGCCCATGGCGCTCAGCTCTCACAGCCCTCCCCGAGGGGGCTGGCTGGAGCATCAGTCTGGAATGTGGGGGCAGGGCAGGGCTGGGGCAGGCTCACACTGGGGACGTGGCTGTGGACTCGCTGCACAGGCTCTCGACAATGTCAGCTCTCTGGATACGGCGCAGCGCAGCCAGGAGGGTGTCCAGGGTGGCGCTGTCCTGGGCAGCCCAGCTGGCGAGCAGGGCGCGGGCGGGGCAGGCCTCGTGGGTGAAGGAGTCTATGTGCTCAGGCTGGTAGCCCAGCTCGCCTGCCAGGTGCCTCCAGGTGTCCCCCGCAGAGCCAGTGAGCAGCTTCTCCACCTCCTCTCGCTTGGCTGGGGGCAGGCTGCTGTAGAGGCCTCCATCACCCTTGAGGGCTGCCAAGAACCCAGGGGAGTCAGGTGCTACCCGATGGGCCCCCATGCCCCCGTGGTGGGCATGGGGGTCTAGGGAAAGTCCCAAGAAGGGCCCAGGCATTTCCCCTCCCAACCTTGGAAAACCCCGAGGGCCTTGAGGCCAAGAGATGGCCAAGATGAGGCCCTGGGTGGGGGGACGCTGACTCATGTCCCCTCCTCCTTACACTGTCCCTTCCCTGCTCCCAGCACTTAGGCAGAGGGGAAACAGGGTTCCCAGTCCCAGACTCTCTGCAGCAAGTGTCCTGAGGTTGGGTGATGGGCCACTAATTAGGGTACATCATTAACTACTTGTTCCCCAGAAGTCCAGGGCAGGAGACTAATTGCAGCCACTTTGGGGAGTAATTAGCCCCAGGGGGGACAATTAGCTTGATGAGTCTGGATGCTCTAATTTGTCAAAGCCTCTTTTCCCAAGTCATTCCGTTGGAGAGGGCCTCTTCCTACAGAGGTCCCTGAGTCGGCCGGCCGCCCTTCCTCCAATCTAAAAGGGGGCCTCACTGCAGCCCCCCTCTGGGCTGCCCTGCCAGGCCTGGGCCCTGCTCACCCTGGCCTGCGGCCGTCTGCGTGTGAGGCTGCTGGTCATGCAGGCTCTGGCTGTCCACCGAGATGCCGCTGTCGCTGTGGAGCTTTTCTCCCTCAGGGGGAGGCGTCTGGTTCACAGGCCGGGTGTTGGCCCCCTGCTTGTTCTGCTTGCAGCTGCTCCACCTGGAGGGAGGATGGCCACTCTCAGGGCTGAGGCAGGCCCAGGCCCTGGGGCTAAGGAATTGCTCTGGGGAGACCTGGCAGGGCCCAGCTGTAACTCTGGGCCACCGCACCCACCCACCGGAAGGCCTCATTCCTCGCACCTGCCCCCCCCACCCCCGGCTGAACCTGACACTGGGAGCAGAGGGGCCCCAGGCTTGGCGCTCACCCCAAGTGTCAGAGCCCGTTTGGTCAAGCCTGGTGCTGAAAGAAATGACTTCCCAGGAGCTCAGCTTTTCCCGGTCCACCCTTCTGAGACACCCCACCTTATGCAGGGATCTACCCGAGAATCCTCAGCTGCAATCAGCAAGAAGGAAACATCGAAAGCAACCCAAGGTCCATTGCTAAGAGGCGGGTTACAGAAATGAAGCCCAAGCTGATGTTATCGGAGGAGCGTTCGCAAACGGTCAGACACCTGTGTGTCCTGAGGAATGCACTCCGGGGCGGTGGTGTAAGTGGGAAGGCTGGCTGCCCTGCAGCCTCAGCCCAAGCTCGCTTTCAAAAAATGTGTTTACATAGAACTAAAAGGGCCTCATATACATGTGCTTATAAATGCGTAGAAAATGGCTGGAAAGGATCCACTGCAGATTCCAGTGAGGAAAGGGGCTGGATTTGAAAAGATGAAAGGGGGCTTTTACTTTTTGCTTTATAAGACATTGTTCTTGTTTGCATTTTCTCAAACAAGCATGCATGACTTTGATGGTTTTCTTGGAAGAGCAGAAAATGCACTTAAATGTTAAAACCTTTTCCAGAAGTTCTTGCACATCCTGGATTTCTGAATGTGGGGGCTACAGGATCCCAAATGTGGTATGGGAAGGATGAAACACAGGCACACACATGGGTCACTGTGTGAGTAAATGGCGTTCAGGAGAAGGGACACAGGCAGCTGGTCAGGAATGTTCTGTGTGCATTTGGAGCTGGGGAGGAGAGAGGGGAGAAGTGGGGTGGAGGGAACAGAAGAAGAGCCCCCTCCCCACCTCCTGTTGAGCCTCCATGCCCTGGAGTGGGACATCTGATGGTCAGAGAGGATGAGCCTGGTTGGGCTTAAATTAAGTGGGTGGGTGCATCTTCAGGTCAAGGTCACAGCAGAGCCCTCCTTGAGGGCAAGGTCTGGCTCTCTCTTCCCCACTCCCCTCTCACCTCTTGAAGGCAATGTAGGCCACAAGCCCCACCACCACAGCGGCCAGGATGGAGCAATACACAGGGATGAGGTTGTCGGTGGTGCCACGGGTCACCACGGGCTGCGAGCTGCCCATCACTGTGGTCACCACATTGGCCACCGTGCTGGCTATGAGGTCTTGCTCTGGAGGCACCTCTGGCTCCTGAGTGCTGGGGACGGTGCTGTCTGAGCCTTCTGGGGGTGTGGACCGCGTAATCCAACGGCCAGGGATCTCTAGGAGAAAGGGCTGCAGGAGTGAGTGCCCACCCCCAAGCCCGTCCCCTCATGTTCTCACCACTCCCACCCAGCACCTCCCCAGCCAGCCCCTGCTCCTGGCGTGTGCCCAGTGGTTACACACAGAGGCGAAGGCCGGGATTGTGTGTGTGAGGTCATGATGGAGGAGAAGAGCAAAGGCCTGGAAATCAGGAGATCTGGGCCTGCCATTCACTGACGAGCTGCGAGAGTCCCTTCAACTCTCAGGAGCTCAGTTTCCCCATCCATAGTAGGAGATACTATCCATGGAGACAGTAAAAGGTGATCTGTAAGCGCCCTTCCATGTTGGGGGTAGCTGTGGCCCTAGAGTTCTATTCTGCTTCCCCTGGGCTCCTGGGGCCTGACACAGAGATGAATATACAAATGGGAGAGTGAACCCTAGAAAATCTCCAGCTAGACTCCTGCTGGGGAAATGCGGGAACTCAGGTTGCCCCAGATAGCCCCAGTCACCCCTGCCCTAATGAAGGGTGGGGGCTCAGGTCTGGGCAGAGAGGTGCCTTCCCCCACACCACCCTCCTCTCCAGTCTCTGAGGCTGGGCAGTGGGGCCGGGGTGCCCAGCAGCAGCCAGTCCTCCGGCAATGGGGAATGTGTTTCCTGCTGCGCGTGGCCCTCATGCCATCTGATCTCACCAGGGTAGACAGTGCCAGGTAGCCCCAACCCAACTTGGGCACGGAGTTGGCTGCTGGCTGAGAAAGGACCTACACAGTAGGTAATGCCCCCACCTCAGGGGAAGGGAAACTGCCTTGCCACCCACCTAGGCCCTTGTATGCCAGCTGAGCACTGGCAGCTTCCCTAGCAGGAGACCTGGCATCTCCTGGCACCAGCAGGTAGGATTTTCCATTTTGCCACTCAGCTGGGGGCAGCAGGGGCTGGAAGTTCTGGACGGCCTAGGGGTGCCTGTCTGGGCAAAGTTGCTCCCCCATCCATCTTCGCTCCCCAAGCCTGGGGCAGGGAGGGAAAGCTGATGAGACATGCCAGTGGGGTGAAGAGGAGGACACTCTGCTCCCCAAGTCTGCCCCACTGAGTTTGCCACCCAAGTTGGAGTCGGAGCTACCCACTGGTCTCCTGGGCCTGAGACAAAGATGCTTCAAAGGTCCTCATTTTCAGCACCTTCTGAGGGGCACGGCCCCCAGATGTGAATCTGGAGTCCATCTGGCTGGCAGTGGGGAGGGGACTGCCATCTGCTGGCCCTTCCACCACTCCCCCATTTGGGTCTTGGGTGGGGAGGAGGGGGAGGGACAGGAAGTGAAGGAGACGCAGCCCTTCTTCCGGCAGCCCTAGACCAGGCTGTTGGCGCTCTAGGGAGAGATGAGGAGCTCTTCGCTGGACCTCATAGGGCACTGGGCAACCTGGAGGGGTAGCTTGAGCCCTGAGGCTGAGATACAGGTTGGGGACCTGCCCGGAGGGTGCATGTGCGAGCAGCGGGTGCAGGTGAGTCAGGGTATCACTGAGTTTGCGGGGCAGTGGGGAAGGGCCAAGGCAGGGGTAGAGGAAGCCCACAGCAGCATCCAGGGTGCTTTCCTCATCTCTCCAGTCCCCTCTGACTGGGGGGGCGGGGGCGATGAGATCCAGATGTGGCCATGTCCACTAGCATTCCAACCAGCTAAGCCTTTGGCAGGTCCTGACAGCCATTTCCTGAATGGGAGCTGTCAGGTTTGGGGGTGGAAGAGAGACCAGGTTACTCCTCCTAAACCCAAATTTCACCAGAGCAGGGGGTGAGTCACCAAGATACCTGAAATGTATCTGCAAGAAACACAAGGCACTGAGGGCTGGGGTCAACCAAACCAGGACTCAAATTCCATTTCCTGCCCCATCCCTCTGCCCCAAGCTGACATTTAACCCTTCAGACACAGGAGCAGAAAGGGGGAGAGGGCACAGTAAACACACTCCGGGGATCCTTCTCTTTCAGGGTGCCTGGGAAAGTGGGGTGGTATCTGGGAGGAATCTGTGAACGCCCCAAAAGCAGGGCCTACCCTTCCTTCAGCCATCGCCTGTCTTTGCTGTAACCTCGCCCTGACTAAGTCCCCCACCAGCTGGTCCAGACTTGTCCACAAACAGACAGCAGAAGTTCCCTCCCTGCTCTGCCTGACGCCTGACTCCACTTGCCTGTCTCCCGGCCCTGGGCCACGGCCACCGGAACCCTGTTCGGCCTCCCTCCTCCTCCCCACGTGGTGCGGAAGCTTCGCACTTAGGCCTGGCCTCTGTCCAGCTTCAGCGCTCTCTCTGCCCGCAGCAGACCTGGAAGCACAGCACCGTGCAGAGCCAGTGTCAACCTGAGGCCCCCCCACAGGGGACCCATGTCCCCCACCCGCCCCGGTGTTGGCAGAGGGCGGACCCTTCTTTCTCCACCAGAGAGGGGGGTCTCCTGGAACAGAGTCCTTGGGCCAAGTCTCTCGCAGCAAACTGCGGTAAAGGCTAACTCTCCTGGCAGACTGGACAGACTCCAGGCTCCTGAGGAGACACGTTGTTGCTGGCTCAGCATGAGGGCACCCTAAGGGTTAGGTCCCCAAAGGAAAAAGCTACATGGGCACCCAGACCCCAGAGGAGCAGAAAGCAAAGCAGTGTCATCCTCTCCCTGCAGCTGGCCTACCCACCTCCCCCAAGACGGCCAGAGACCCAGAAGAGCTGCCCTGTCTCCCTGGGGCTCCATGCCTGGCAAAGGTGGCCACAGCCAGCTCCCATGCGCTCCTTGGGCTGAGCGCCCCAAGCACAGGGCCTGGCTCTCAGGCTACAGCGTCCGAGACCTGCAGTCCCTGTCTTCCTCCATCCCAAAGACTCTGCCCCCACAACCTCCTTAGGGTTCCTCCAACCTGTGACAGTTCTTCCACCTCTTGGTCCCTCCCACAGACACCCAAGTGGGTCCACCAGCCACCTTCTCTAACCCACAACAACCCTGGTAACCACCACCACCGAGGAAACTGAGGGCGAGTCAGGAGTGACCGTCCTGGCCAGCGTTACTCAGATAGAAAGTCACAGGGCCGATTTCACCCCAGGCCCCAGGGCCACAGCCCCAAGCCTCGGAGGATAAAGACCCCAGCCCCGGAGGGTCCTCAAGTCCCTTCAAGTTCAGAAAGCCCACACCTCTAGGCTCACATGCTGCTGCCCTGTGCCCGGGACACCAGGGCTCCCCAGCTACTGACCGCTCCTTAGCTGGACAAGCACAGATTGAGAAGCACTAGAAAATGAGTTGGCACGTGGTAGCTGTGGCCCCCGAGGACGCTGACGGCTTGCTTTGACTCAGCCCAGGGAAGAAAACCGAGGACAGGCAGGGTGGGCAGCACCTGTTCCCTGGGCTCGGGCGCGCCGCGCCGGCCCTTCCTTCTCGCCGGCAGGGGGCGCCCCTCCTCACCCTCGCACTCGGCGTCGGCCCAGCGTGAGCACTCGCGCAGCTGGCGCTCGGTGTCCTCGCACACGGTGCAGGGCAGGCACGGGTCCACGTGGTTGGCTTCGTCGGAGTAGGTGCCGTCGGGACACTCCTCGCACACGGTGTTCTGCTTGTCCTGGCACGAGAACACGAGGCCCGAGCCAGCCTCGCATACGCGGCACGCCTCGCAGCGGCCGGTCGCCTCGTCCTGGTAGTAGCCGTAGGCACAGCGGCACACGGCGTCGTCGGCCTCCACGCAGGGCGCGGACATGCTCTGCAGACCCACGCACTCGGTGCACGGCTTGCACGGCTCGGTGGCGCTCACCACGTCCGAGAAGGTCACACCTGAGGTACATGGACCATGGGCCCAGAATTAGGCCGCCTGCCCTCTGGGTACGTGGGATACAGGCTCCCCTCTCCGGCATGGACCCCCCCTTCAAGCCTTGCCCCATCATTACTCTTTGGAAACTCCTGGCAGCCTACTGGGTAGGAAGAAGGAACCAAGAGTCCCGTGCTAGCAGCCCCTGACGCTTCAGGGTAACCCAGCTGGTATTGGAAATTTCTTGGCAAATTCTCATAGAGCTTCCAACCCTATCCCCTTGTTCCCAGCGTGATTAAGGAATAATCTCAGCGTGGTTCCCACCCAGCCCTCCCCGCAGGCCAGAGCTGGGCTGCGAACCCAGGAACCCAGCCCACAGCTGGCCTTCACCAGGGAGACTCCCGGGCAGCTGCCCTTCCAAGCCTGTGTGTGTGTGTGTGGGGGGGGGTGGCGGCTCAGGTGTGGGTGCATGGGAGTGACTGGAGTTACCAGTGTCTCCCATCCACGGTGCTTCCCCACTGCGGTCGGACTTGGCTTCTGAGGGTGGAGGTTAGAAGGTGCAGTGGGGCAGGAGGGACTGAAGCTAGACAAGGAGGACTTGCTGGGCAGTCCTCTGCCCTTTCAAAGGCAGGAAGGGAGCCGGCAAGGCTGACGGTGCCCTCTTAGTCAATGGCATGAGCTTCAGGATGGGGGGCCGGGGGCAGAGCCGGGGCTCCTGGAACAGGCAGGGAGCAGGCAGGGAGCCGGCATAGCGCCACATGGTCACCCCTCCCAGCCCAGGGTGGAAACTCTGCCGGAGTCTGGCAGGGCTCATCCTTGCTCCCAGGGCAGGAAGAGCAGATTTACGCAACTGGGAACAGGGAAGCAGGGAGGCCTCAGATCCTGGAAGCAGAAGGAGCTGAGACCCAGGTGAGGTGTTAGCCCGTTCGGGAAAAGGGGGGTTGCTGCGGGGACGGAGCTCAGACTTCTCTAGACGCTCCAAGAGACAAGATGGAGCACGGCACCATTATCTTCAGGGTGGGCGTGTGGATGGAAAAAAAGGCGGGAAAGCCCAAGCTAGACGAGGAGGCAGGTAAGAGGAGATAATCCAGCGATGAACCTAAGGGGACTTTCCAGTCAGGCCTGGCAGGGGAACCCTGTGTTTCTCATCCTGGGGACCAGCAGATCTGGGTTCAGAACCTGCTTCCATCCCTTAGTAGCTGCGTGCCTTGGGTGTCTCACTCAACCTCTCTGCGTCTTTCTCTCTCCATTAATGGAGACATAATATTTCCTCTCACGTTGCTGTGGCGAGAACCAAGTGAAATTCTCCTATAAAACACCTTGACGCAGGCAGGGATGCTATAAAGGCTGGTGAGCAATGAGAAGTAGGTGGAAAAGAGACAGCAGGAAGGACTTCCAACCATAAACAGGCAGAGCAGGCCGCCCGGTTTAGACGAACAAGAGGAACCGATCTGGTTGGCATATGGCAGATGTGGGTCTAGGCACAGCGAAGGGGGAGGAGAGGGCTCTGCCTTGGGAAAACACAGAAAATTAGCAGGAAACTCCTGGGAGTGGGTTTTAAGGGGTGGGAAAAATGCGGTCTCTTTTTTTGGCAGAGAATGAAGGCAAGAGCTTAATGGGTTTCCTTGTGGAAACGTTTGGAGCACAGAGGGAAAGTCCGCTGGGGTCTCCATCCCATAAAGTGGGCTTGTAAAGGTGGCCTGTTAAAGCAGCTGGGGTGGGGGCTGGGGGCTGGGGGCCAGCTCCTGCTACCGCCAGGCTGCCTGCCTGCTGCCGGCTGTCTCTGCTCCAGTCTTGCTCTCCTTCCCCACGGGTGCTGGGACCTCCCTCCCCCAGGCTCCACCACAGCACCCCTCCTTAGACCGTGGGAGGGAGCCCATCCTGGAAGACTTAGGACTCAGGCCCGGAGATTCCTGGGCAGGAGTCCAGGAAATGGATCTCCCCCACCCCCAGGGGCATCCCAATAGGAATGGCCACACTGCCCAGGCCTCCTGTGGCTGGCATCATCACCAGATACCCTCAGAGCTCAGAACCCAGGCTTCGCTGGGGCTTCTTCCTTTGGGTGGAGCTGGAGAATCCTGTGCCTGGGGGGAGGGGTAGCCACACCCTCCAGGAACCCCCAAGGTCAGGCTCCAGGGCAGCCAGGATTTGATCCTCCTCCCCTCCCCACCAACACAGGGAGGTTAGTGGCAGCCATTGATTTTGCAGCGAAGGTGGTATTTTTAGCTGTTCATAGCATCAGTTACTCCTCCCTACCTGAACACACTCTTCTACCAGGCCTCTCTGCTTGGGGCTGGGTAGGGGCACCGGAAGGGAGTCCCCCCAGGCCCCTCCTCCCTCTGCATAGTGCCGGCCCCCTTCTCAGCTAACCCTCTGCCTCCTGCACAGGGTCAGACTACCTCTGGTGCCCATAGTGGTGGGTGAGAGACCCCACCAGGAGGCACCACCCTTAAGAGACCCCCACTGGGCATGCTCCTCTCCAGCCCCCTCCCTGCCTTCCATTCCTCACCGCTCTCCCCGTGTGCACCCGGTACTTACTGTCCAGGCAGGGCTCACACACAGTCTGGTTGGCTCCGCAAGGCTGGGCCACACCCTCGCCCAGGTTGCAGGCTTTGCAGCACTCGCCACTGTGGGTGTACAGGCCTGTGGGGCATGCCTCCTTGGCCCCTCCGAGGGACACCTGGTATGGGGAGATCCGCAGGTCAGACTGGCTAGAGAAAGGGGGGCTGGCTCCTGAGGGATCAAACACCCCCCCCTCAAGCCCTCTATTGGAACCATGTGGGCCAGGATGAGCTCACCAGGGAGGCATTAAGCACATCAAAGCTGGAGGGGAAGAAAGGCAGTTGGGGACCGTCCATCCCACAGGCTGCTGCGGTGTGAGGTCAGAGCCTCCAAGCAGACCTTCTGCAAAGTTCATCCTGAGGTGCAGCAGTGTCCCGAATCCTTAAGCTACACCACGTGGGGAAGGTGGCCTGCGGCCCAGCAAGGCCTGGGGCAGGGGTGTCAGGGAGGCCGGGCAGGTTGCTGCTTGCACGGGGCTGCCAGCCAAGGGGGCGACTGGCAGCTGAAAACAGCCCGAACGCCACCTGCCAAGCTGCACACCTGCAGGGCTGTAGCTACCCGGAGGGCAGCCTTTTCTAACACAAGGACCTGCCTGGCAGGTCTTTGATTCTGCCAGTCCACATTTTAAGTATCAAATGGGAGGTATCTACACCCCAGAACTAAAGGCAGAAGAGTGGGGTCTTGGGTTCAAGTCCAGGTCTGTCCCAAAAGTGCTGGCCTGACCTGTTTTCTCTCTCTGGGTCTGCATCTCTCTCATCAGGGGGAGGGGGTGGCAGCTTGGGGCCCGAGCCAGGACCAGCCAGTTGAGGCTGGAGAGGCGCTGCTATCTATGATGAGAGAGTGGCCACTCTCACCACCCAGCAGCCCTGCTCCACCAGGGTTTGATTTCCAGCCGCAAAGGGGAGGGGGGGCAGCCCCCCTTCCCGCCCCCCACGCAGCCAGTCGCAGCCAGTGGGACTGGCGCTGGAATCAGGCAAGGGGGGTCAGATTGCTGCCGCGGAGGCATCTTTGCTCGTGGATGGAACGATTTAGCACCAGATTCCCTAGAGGGAGGGGCTGCTGGCAGTTTGCTTTATATTTCTTTTCCTTACCAAAAAAAAAAAAAAAAATGTAATGTCTAATAAAACTCCAAAGCCTGTTTCTCTGGCCCCAGACCATGCAACTCCCATTTGATGCTGACGGAAGTGTGGGCATTTGAGTGGTGGGACCAGACGGGAGCTTTAAATGCCACTTTGGACTTTCCTTTGGTCACACTCGGGTTTCGTGTAGTCAAGGGAAAGGGCAAGTTGCAGGCAGCTTGGGAGGGAACTTGGGTGTCGCCAGCCTCTCTTCCTAGGTAGCAGGAGCAGAGCTGGGAACATCTGTAGACCAGGAGCCTGCGGGGTGGGGAGGAAGGCCAGACGCAGGCGGGCCCCCAGAAGCAAATGGGATTCCGTAAGGGTCTGTTCTGATTTCTTTGCATCCTTCAGGCCTCTGCTTAAATGCCATGTCCCCACACTGGCGGCCTGAGGCTCCCACTGTCCCAGACTCAGGCGGAGCTGTTCACTCTACTTATCTGGTCTGAAGCTTCGCTGAGTCCCCGAGTCTGCTAGAGGGTCCCCCTCTTGAGGGCAATCCTGTGGATGCTCCAGCATCGCTGACACGGTCCCCCAGCGTGCATTGGGCCCTAACGTGCGTGTTTATGGCTATGCAAACGCCGGATGACCTCAGTTAACTAGGACCCCAGGAGCTGCATTTTCGGCTTTTCATCATTTCACCCCCTTCACTCTGGGGGCTGCACCCTGGCCTGTCTCCTGGACAGACCTTCACGGTTTCCCCATGACTCAGGGACTGGGTATTTACACCAGCGGTTATGCTGGGCTGCAATGCAGTGAAATGCGTGTGTCCTTTCTCCCAAATTACCACACTTTTGTGTCTTTGAGGTCTTCTGCCAGCTTTTTTTCAAGACAGTGTTTCTGTCTCCTCCCTCCCATGTATCAGTTATCATGTGTGCCGCTTACCTGCATGTGACCTGGCGACTCCAACCCACCACCCTAATTCCCTAGGTCTACGGGATTCTCGAAATGGTAGAACTAGCCTTGGTCGAAAGGGGGCAGAATGAACGTAAACAGGATTCAAACTGGGAGGGGGCCATTCTCGGAGGAAACGGGGTGAGCTCCCTGCATTCGTTGGCTGCCTCCACCATGGCTCTGAATCCTGACTCATCTCTTAGGAGCTGGGACATGTTCTGGATTTCTTTGTGCCTCAGTTTCCCCAACACTAGGTAACCATGACAGCATCTGTCTCGTTAAATGGGTGAGCAAGGTGCAGTTACAGCTTGGTACCTCTTTTCCCTTTGCTGGGGTCTTTCTGGCTTCCTTGGTGGCTTTGGCTATGTTCCAGTTAGTTCACTTAGCAGAGAGCAGGACTCTGGATAACAGAGGGGGTCTGCCTCTGTGGTGGGGGGTGGCGCAGCAGCCTGTGCAGGCCCCGCCCCCTTGAAGCCTGCCCTCCTGGCTGTAGCTGGGTCCTCTCTCTTCTCCCAGGTCTTGATTCCGAGTCATAGCCATATTAGGACAAACCATGCATGCTTGTTTTAGGTTTCCTATCTCAAAACATCCCAGACCTGCTACTTAGTAGTATATTATTTGGGTAAATTCTCAATCTCGTTCAGCCTGGGTTTTGGCACCTAAAACTTTGAATTGGCCCTATCTACTTCTCAGGGTTGTTGTAAACAATTCAGAGCGATCACTTACGCCGATCTGGCTGGTGTAGCATGCTGAGTTCAATAAATGTGAGTTCGCAAAGAAATGTCTTAGAGAATATGAGCTGCTGCCCCTGGGCGGGCAGTAGTGGGAGGGGAGCACACGCCATCTCCAAAGAGAGGGGTTATCAAAAAGGAGGGAGTGTGACAGATAATGAACAGACATTGACCCACCGGGAGGGGTCTAAAGAGGTTATGAGAACCAAAGGAGGGTGAGACATTGCTTTCCCTAAAATGAGCTCACTTAACTGGGCTCTCTTGAGCACAGAGGTAACATTTCCAGTGAGCTGTGGGCCTGATCTCTGCAGGGAGTCAACATCTCCCCCCACAGAACTGCTCCAAATGTCAAGATGCTATGGGGTTGCCTTCACTCCTCTCTGAGAGAAGGGGGAAGGGAGGGCCCCAGTTCAGGCCTAATGTAAGCCCCCTGCCATGCCCTCTCTTAATTCAAAGCTGGCAATCTTGGGGAGCAGGGCGTATGATAGGATTCAGGCAAATGGCTCCGAAAGAATCAATTTATCAAACAGTAGATGCATTTGCCTGCAATTTACATGTACTACATGTATTTTTCATTTCCAGTCTGATAGAAATGAAATGATTACATCCCATTTTCTAAAATGTTTGCAATCTTTCTATTTTTACCATTAAAAAAAAAAAACAAACCCTAACATGGAAATACCCTTAGATAAATTGATGTTTAGGAAACTGAAAGTTATTTAAAAACTGGACAAAATAGTAAACCCACAAAAGTAGTTGAAGGAATTTGAATATATGAACTCTCAGCATGATGAGTCCTAACCATTGACAATAGCTTCATTGGAATAAAGCCAGTAGCTACCACCATGGGGTTGAGTTCACATTTGTGGAGCATCTGTTGAGGCCAACCAAAGCCATGACGGGTCTGACACATGGCTCACACCCCTTTGGACAGAGGTGAGTGTGGGGTAGGAAAGGAGAGATAATTCCTAAGGAGATGCTTCCTGAAGATTTTTAAGGGTTGGGGGCCCTGTGTAGGGGGAAGGGACTAAGCTCCAAATTCGAGTTGCCAAGGGCGAGGACATATATGTAATCTCCAGAGCTAGTAGTGGTTCAAGGTCAAGTGCCCCTGGGTGATCTAGAAGGCTGGGGCGTGGGGGTGGGGGTGCAGAGGGGGAAGTGGAACCTGGTGGTAATAATAAGGGCCAATCCAGGGGGCCACCGCCCAAAACTGGCACCTCCTGGTTTCGGCGGAAACTGCTGCCAAACTTAGCTTCCTCAACTGTAAGGTGGGAATAACCAGATTTGTTCTGCTGCAACTTTTTAAGGGTCAAGTAACAGGGCAGTTCGTGGCACACAGTAGGGACTCGACACATTTTATTAGTCGGGTCTCCTCACCCAGCACCCCGGGGAAGACTAGGCGCTTGAGCGAGCCCTGCTGGTCCAGCCGGCGGGGACCCCTCTCTGCCCCTGCGGCCTCCGGTGCCTGGCCGCTCTTGTCCTTTCATTTGCTGCCCTCGCTGCATCCCTATTAGGCGCATTAGCCAGCCCGGCGGCTCCGGTTACAGACGTCTGAATGACAAAGCGCCTCCATTACCGGCGCGGCCCGCCAGCCGACCCGCCGGGACTCGCTCTGGTTTCAGCACTCTCTCACCGCGGCCCAGGGAGAAATTCGGGGCGCTCCCGCCGAGGCAGAGGCAGAGCCGCAGGGGCTGGAGGAGCTGGGCTGCGCTGCGGCCACCTTCGCGACCCGCCACTCGCAGGTCCCCTCCTCCCTCTCCTCCCCTCGGCTCGGAGGGCGCTCCCGGCCCAGACCCCGACCCCACGCCCTCGCCTTTCCGGGCCCGGGACCGGGCGCCAGGGTCCCACCTCCCCGCCCCCTGACCGCGGCCGGCGGAGAAGCATCTCCAACCCGCGACGTTAGTGCCCTCGGTCACTCCAAATCCCCGGACGAAGCCACAGGTACTGACAACTCCAGGGAACTTGGCTGAGCTTTTGGGATGATGCTGGCCGACCCCACCCGGCGCAGCCCTGGTGGAGAAACGCAACTCTCATTCGCATCTGGGACGCTGGGCTGTCCCCTTAAAAGGAATGGGGAGTACGGCTGGGAAGCAGCGAAGGGCTGTTTGACTAGGGCCGAGAATCTAGCCAAGTTCTTTAAACGTGCGGAGCCTCAGTCTTCTTATCTATAAAATGGGGGTTTGGGGGGCTAACGCTCAGATGAGCGATGAAGGTGGCCGGGAAAGTGAGGACGCCCTCTCCGCCGTCAAACCTGCCAGGGCACTCCACTATGGCTACACACCGGGTCACGGCCCCTGCGTATCTTGTCAGAGCTATCGGAGGTCTTAGATGCTTAAGAGGACTTAGATGCTTATGGGACTAGGACTCTCTCGCCCAAACAGAATCCGAGCCTCGCTCTCGTGGGGTGCCCAGCGGCTGCCACCGAAAACTGGGCGGGGCGCTGACGAAATCCCGACCCTCTGAGGAGCTGGAGCCTGGGCAACCGCGGGCTAGGCGTTCTGGTCGCTTAAGTAAATCGGGGTCCGGGGGAGAGCGGGGAACGCAGTCCCAGGCGCGCCCGCGGCAGAGCGGAGCACATCGCTCGCTCAGCAACGCCCCCTGCGGGCCACCTCCGACTTGGCACCAGGAGCTGTGCGCGGCTGGGACTTGCCCCGCGATGCGCGAGCGCTTCCCGGAGCTCTGCACCCAGAGACTTGGCGGCCCCAGACCACTCAGGAGGACGCCCGCTCTATCTGTCAGTGAATCTGCTTCAAACTGTGAGAATACGTGCGTCGGAGGAGCCCGCTGGGACTGGGTATCTGGAAACAGGTTCGACCTAGCCAAGTGGGGTCTCCCTTCCCGGACTGAGATTCCCAGCCGCTGCTACCCGACTGGGCGAGGTCTTTCAGAGAAAGCGCGCGACGGACGCGGGAAACATTCGTGCCTCAGTCCTCTTTGGTCCCACTGTCCCTTAGCGGGCGGGGCACCGGCCACTTTAGCCTGCCCTTCTGTGTCCTTGCATTTTGCTTCTTTCTACCTCCCTCGCCGGATTCGTCCCTTTTCTGCGCTCCTTAACCCACTTCTACTCTTCAACCGCCACCCTCTGCAACCGCTCCCTCCGACGCCCCTCCCCCCCATTGTCTGGCCGGTCCCCATTGTCCGATGCCGGGTCCCCTCTGCCTTCAGTCCCTCCAGCCTGTTCCCCCATTGTTCCAGCCCCTCATCTCTGGTTCTCGCCCCAGCCGCACTTGCCCCTCTCATCTATAGCCCCGGTCCCAATTCCTCCTTCTCTTGCCTGGGTTCAGTCCCACGACCCTACAGAGATAAGATGCTCAAGAGAAAGTCGCCTCGAAATCCCGGCATTCAAGCACCCTTCTGAAGAACCCAGCCACCCGAGAGTTCCAGTACCCCCTCCTGAGAGCCCCCTCCCCGCGCCTCCACACACACCCCTTGCGATACCCCAGGACCGGCATCCGCTCCGAGAACTCTAGACACTCCTCCCTGGATCCTGTCATCGGAGCTCCTCTCCCGCCACCCATCCCCTGCATCTGGGACTCTAGCTCTGTACCGTTCTTCCTCGGGGAAACCTCAACCCATGACGGTCCAGTCCAAGGAAAGGGTGCGGGTTCCCTCCTGCTGGCACTCACCCCCAGGAGTAGCAGCAGCAGTAGGCGCGGCCCGTCCATGGCGCAGCCGGCGGCACCTGCCCCCATCTCCAGCCTCCCGCGGCTGCGTTCGGCTTCCAGCTCTGTCCGCTCCGCGGACCGACAGGGCTGCGCGGCGCTGAGCTCCAGCGCGCGCCCCCCAGAGCTGGCCGCCGCTCCGCTCGCTCTGGCAGCGGGCGGGC